TGTACGGAATGTATTCGTGCATTAAAAAAAAACTGCCGAAAGCGGTCAAATGAGAAACTGATTTAAAATTAATGAGTGATAACTAAGCAAATGCAAATAACTTTCACATAAATGACTGTGCTGGAACGTCGGCAACCGAGCCAGACGGAAAGAACATTGATAGTTATCCCGATGCGTGGTTGTGTACCCGGAAACGAAAACCCCAACAAGCTACCATATCATGCGTGAGTTGCATCACTCAGGCGCGATGGAGTTTGGACAAGGATTGTGTGAGGGGATCCCGGGAATTATAACCTCAAAACCCGGACAAACACAGTAATCAAAACTGCGTACGCACAGACCCCAGTGTGTGTGATGACAGACTGAGTAATCCGATGATGATGATGAATGACCTAGTAAGAACGAAATGCACCCGAAGAAAAAGTGTCCCGCTCAGAAGCAATGGTGAACGGCCAAAGTAGCAAGCAGATGATCCATCCGGAAATGATAGAGTTAAAAAATAGAAATGTGTTTCTATGCTCATGGCCAATGTCAACAGATCAGACCCGTGGATAAGGCACACCCGGAGAGCACGCAAAGCTTCTTTCTGAACGAGCAAACCGAACGGAAATTGGGCGCGTGACGTTTCGTATCGCGGTTCACCATAAGTGAGTAAGTAAGCACATGCATAAACAATTTCTTCAATACAAAAACTATCGTGACTACAGAAGGATAGAGATGGAAATCAACCGATTCCGTGGTAAAGACGAGGAGAAGCCACAATTATATCATACTTCTCAAATGCAGTGCTTCTTAGTCGAATAATCAATAGTGGTTGTGTTCCATTGAAAGAATTCAAATCGATAGTTATTGAGAGCATGAAACGATAGATAGGAATAACTGTCTGAAACACAAGACTAGCTGGTTTTTAGTTCATAAAACAAACCAACGGTTGACTGTTGATGGCGAGAGAAAGAAAGACTTCAGACGAGTTTCAATGACGGTGAGGCTGTGGGTTTGGTGCTAGACTATTATGCAATCAGAGGGACAGAGCAGTAGATTCCATGCTTCAGATTATTCGACCTCATGAGAGGCAACATGATGAAGTAAATGTGTTGCAGACACAAAGGAGGATTATTTTATCACAAGTTGCACAGACTGTACCAAGTAGACAGACACTCACCTCTGCTCTTCTTCTTTCATTGTATCCGGTTTCCTGCGCAGAGTAATCTCGGTGTGAGCCTTGGTCAAAGCACAGATCAGTTGTAGCAGCGGTCCTGTGGAAGGTGACAAATCCGTGGTTGAATCACGTAGCAAATGCCATATGTTATCGATCAGCTGACGTACACGCGGACAGCCCAAAGTGGATAGCCAGTCCGCATCGACTACGGGAATGAGAGCGGAGGCAGCCGCGGCCCGAATATCCTCATCTGCCACCGAGTGCGTGGAATTCCTGCTCTCGCCTAAACTGTGTGGTTCGATGGAAGACGAAGCACTGTGACCTTCGAGTTGTGCCACAAGACAGGGAGTAACCAGAGGTAACAGCACAAATCGTAGATCCTTCATTGAAAACGGCGGAACAAACAGTGAAATTTAACGTCAGATACTAATGCAGAAAATTTAGTGTTTCCATCAACAGGTGATGTGTAGTTCGATTAAACAAAAACTTTCTTCACATCATGTTTCGCTTATTTGTGATCAAAACAAATAAAAGGAGCAAACCATGGAGACAAACAAACTAGTTTCTCGGGGGAGGAAGAATGACTGACAATGACTAGATTATCGAAAGAAGACATCATGACAGAAGCAAAGATAGGGTTAAAACGGATCACAATGTCTGTTTTTTACTACATAGAAGTGAATACACTAAAAAGGGGTAAGACCCATAATCCACAGATATACCGTACATGAGGTGGTAAAACAAATATTCAAGCTAGAACCAGCTTTGTGATTCTACGTTCAAAGACAAGGATGTTAAACGTTGGAGGCAAGACTGAAACGAGGAGAGTACTCCACAGTTGTGCTATTCTTGGGGGGGAAGATGACTTAAGGTTAGAAACGCGACTCTTGGAGGTGGTGGTGGTGCAGTGGTTTAGTCACTGTCACAGGCGTGCTTTGTATTCTATGGTCGGAGGTTTGAGCCCGGCCACCACCACCCAACTTTGGTGGTAGGCAGCTGTGCTGTCGTCCGGTTCAATACCACGCCTAACCTATCGGGGCCTTATGTGGTTCACCATTCCAAGTCGCGAGGCTTAGGTAATGGGTATTTATCACTGAACAGCAGGTCCTCGTGACTATGGGGTTCGTCCCGTCTGATGTTCATCACACGAAAGTGTGTAAAAAAATAAATAAAAAAAAATCAAGAGACAGAAAGGTGGACGAAGCTCCACCACACATATGTCCTTAGTATTCATGTGCAGGGCGAATCTGAACTTTATGAAGCGACAGTAGGTGAATTGGGGTGAAGAAACGTCTGGCACGGATTTTGCGCGGAGTGCAGGGACACAATTAAATAAATATATGGTGATCATGAAAGATATGAGTGAGGCAAGTCCCAATGTGTTGCATGAATCTGTGGAACGGAGAATGTTCGAGTTAAAATTTAATGAAATTTAGAAAGATGTCTGTTTAAGAGAAACGGTCATAAGGGAACTTTACTGACATTAAGGAGAACAGGCTGCGACAGTCCCAAGCATAAGTAAGACCCAGAGTAGAATTTCGGGAGAAATTGAGGGAAGAGCGATCATCGTTAATGCTAGAGTTAGCCGGAAGAGGAGTAGGACAAAGAAAAGTGTACGGGTAGCGTCATCGGCAAAGGGATGAACAGGAGTTGAAGAAAGATCCATCAGTGGATATCAGAAAAAGGGAAGGGGAAAGAACAGAACCTTGGAGAACACCGGCATTCACAGGCACGGAACAAGATATGGTTCTGTCTACTCGAACGGAGATGCTGCGGTATTCGAGATAACCTGTTGCTCAGGACACCAGTTTCAACGAGAAGCCCAACTTGGGTCGTTTAGCCAATAGACCTGCGGGTTAAACAAGATCGCACGTTTTCGATGTATCCAATGAAACCATACGGGTTTCTCCATGGTTGTCGAGTGCCGCTGACCACTTATGCGAAATGAGTGCTAGACGATCAATAGATCGATGGGACTGGAAACCGTACTGACGGTTGCTAAGCATCCTGTTCTGTTCCAGGTGGTGGCGGATTCGATCAGCAATGACTGACTTCATCACCTTCGAAATAACTAAAGTGAGAGAGAATGGGTGGTAGTTATTTTGGTCTGAGTGGTTACCGCGTTTGAGGATGGGAAATATTTCTGATATTTTCCGCATTTTACTGTTAGAGTGCTCTTAGCGTTTGGTTCTTCCCTATCGATCGATCAAAAGGGATAACCGAAATACAGTGACGGAAACCGTTGTATGACAATGCAAGGTTAATGGCCGTGCAAGCGAAAAGGGAAACTTTGAGTGCATATATAGTCAGGTGCAGCGCACAAGGCAATAAGGTTGTTCCAGAGAAGCTGATTGATAGTGGTTTGATTTATTCAACTCTTTTAGAAGGCCGTTCAAAATTATCTATATGATAGTTCGCTTCAGAGTCGAAGGTACGCTGAGGGCATCTCAATTTGTGCGCGGGCTATACCTCTCCTCTTTGTACACTCAACTACAGTCTGAGAGGCAAATAGGATTATTTAGACGAGCCGATGACCCAGTGTGCGGATCATACACCCTTTCCGTACGAAAATTTGCGGTAGAATGATCACAATGGACTTCATTTGGTAGCGGGTTTGATCGTCACGCTATAAGGCGGGCCACAGACCTCTTGTTTTGCAGTAGAGAGCACGAAAATTTACCACGCCCGTGACACTTGTGGCTGATCACCCACGGCTGCTGATTGGATGAACATGAGTTCAACTTCAATGAAAATGTTTGTGATGACCGACAAAGAGCACTGGACAGTTGTTTCAATCTGTTTAGGACTCATCAAAAGTGCGTAATTTTTGTGTCCCTATCAAAAGGTACGCACTGCTGACGAGTCCCAAAACAGGATGAAACAGCTGTCCTGTGCTCTTTGTCGGTCATCACAAATATTTCCTCGCACGTGAATGCATTCAACTAGTGGGACATTATTGATCCGCCAAGGAGTGAAACCATACCCAAGAGCATCAAGTGAACAATCCAATGGGCTACTTCAAAATAAATTCAACTTATTCAGATTTAACCATCGAATTGTCAAACCAAGTCAAAATAAGCTTTAATGGTGGCCGACACTCTATCAACAACCCGAGACGCGCATCGGCAACATCTAGCTCTGCTTACAAGGCAGTTCCTGTTTGTGTGAAACTGGTTGTGCGTTTAGCTTTGAATACAATTCTGTTGGATTCTGAGCAAGTGTTCATATAACAATCAAAAGATAACTTTAATTAACACCAATGATGCACACATGGACAGCAAGTCCGAAAAAGAACTGCCCAAGAAGCAGGTCAGATATTTCCATCGAAAACATATTTTTGGTTCCAGTGAATGAATAACCCCATGATAGTACCGGGCACGCATATCTGATGAGCGACAATATCCGCGAAACTAATCTTCGAGCAAACTTTGTCCTGTATATACTCACTTTTCGTGATGCTAACAGATATTTGATCCCCAACAGACCTCCATGGACAATCATCCAGTTGTTTTTCCACACAGTTTGCGCTCCTCCATGCCCCTCGTCTGTAGGCGGGCGATAGCAATCTGTTTGTTTGAGTGAGATCAGGTAGATCAGATGTCGAGTGACTAATAAGACACGTTCCTCTGACAAATGACGACTCAGCACCCCGAGCAACTGGGCGGCAGTCTCACGAACGGGGGCGACAACCTGTAGGTGAGAACAACACAAAGGACAAGTATACGAGATGTTGTGCGCTTCATACAGCAGCCATGATGGAAGTCAAGAAATCAAATAACGTATAAAAAGCCATTCTGCTTGGAACGGCCCTTCAGAACACTGATGGTTTGTTGAGCAAAAATACGATAGACGTGTAGTAGTATTGAGGGTATATGAGTTGACCAACACAGTGATTCATCGAACAGAACCGAAAATCTGCGATTCACAGTTCGCTTGGAGCGGTCCCCGAACGATAGTGCCCGCGTTCAATCGGACTGCTAGCCAAACACACCAAACGCTAACCCCACATCAGTAATTGCAGCATATATACATATGTATGTCTCGGTGTGCATGCGACGAACAAAAGACAAAGTATGCCCCAATTTACTCGTTCGAAAACGGCAAAACTGGTCGAGAAGCAGATATGAATCGACGGTACTCGGGCGGTTTCGAATGAGAGCCACAAGTACACTGAAATGATAACATGTTACACAAGCGCAACCCCATGCAACGGGCATTTTCCGACCAATGAAAACGATGTGCAGAAAAAGCACGTGATTTCCAGGACGGGGGCGAGGGATGACCTGCGGTAAATGCCCTTCAGAAATTGAATTAGTTGAGCGTATTCTCAGCATGGGTTGATCATTTAAGGTACACGCAACTAGCACAGGCACAGAGAAATAATATTCTCAATTCACGACAAAAACCGACTGACATTAATGCACATGAACGGCAATACAGTTAGAAAAACCGGTCGAAACATGGAGCCATCATCGGTAGATGAAAGCGCTAACCTAGTTCAATCACACACGCACAATTTGAGTCAAAATCGGTAGAGGGAAGGAAAAAGCACAACACAGATAACAACAACCAGCCGGGATTTACCTCGTCGGATACAAAATCGGACAATTGATCCAAAGCCAGGGTGCATAATACGCGTACTAGAATATCTTCCAAATAACGCGAGTTACTTTGAATCATCTGGAAAATTGAGAAAAAGTAGAATGAGGGGAGTAGTTCTGCGAAAAATTGGTGGTGATGACGATGATGATTATTATTACGATCAGACTGATTGATCACATACTAGGATACGTCGTCCGTCAAAATTGAATTGAGTCATCGACGCGCGGTCTGAAAAACCGGATGATGGAAATGAACGGCAAATTAAGAGATTCTGGAACGAAAGTAATTGAGTCACATCCGCACTAGAGGGACCAAACTGAGTTAATTGTTTAGGCGATGAATTCGTCGTGAGCTGAAAAGTAGTGGGCAGCTGTTTCGACCTGGCTGGGTCTCATCCGCAGTGTGAATCCATCGACTCAAATGGGGATCGAACCCGGGACCTCACAGGTAGAACGTAAGCATACTGCCCATTCGACCACCTGGGCCGCTGATCAGACCGTTTCTCATTTGGACTATACACGATATAGCACAACCCATCTTTGCGAGCTTGAATTGATTGTACACACTCAGATGTTCGACGAACTTCTTGTGGGGTAATTTAGTTCAACTATATTGTGATCAAAAATTATTGAATTTCTTGTACAATCACTAGTGTAACCCGGTTGGTATCCGATGAAATATTTCACTTCAATTCCCTGAATAATCCCGAGGATAGACGATTAGGATCGCTGGTGCTCGATGTGTGAGTGTTGCAACATATACATACTCAAACTGATTGGAAAAAACCTTATTCCCATTGTCCGGAAATCGTGTTCTTCATTTTTTTTTCTGCGCCTGCCACCACAGGATTTGTGAATGTGTTGGAGAATTTCTTGATAGCCAAATAGTAATAACCAATTCGGCATACCGCTAAATCACACTCAAAATCTGGATAAGTCAGATAAGTCGTAGGCAAACAAGGAAAATAAATTAGTCAACAACCGTACTAAGGAAGAGTATCCTATTGACCTATTTTTGTAACCAAGCTTTGCAGGAATGAGCTCGAGAAAAAGAACACTAGTGTTGACCAAGCGTAGTACTATCACCAACCTCTTTTTCTGACATCCCAGCACATTTGCCCGCCTGCCAAGTGTGCCTAGGCTCGGACAGGAGTTCACGCAACCCAGAGGCAGCACCGTGACGTGTCTCCCAACGCAAAGCCCACAAATCACCCAATAGATTGGTACAGATGCGATCCAGGGGCCAGGATGGGCATGCGTCCAAAGAGTCCTCATCGGATGGCGCTGCCACTTCTGCACGTGGCTGCTTGACACGGGGCTGATCGGCGCCAGATTGACCCGGACTAGGAGGAGCCGACCTGAGACGTGTGGCGAGGGGGATAGATAAACAGTTAGGTATATATAATAACCGGTGGGAAGTTTCATCGATACCCTCGAGTTAGGCAGAGTTGAATGCTACCAGATGCACCACAGGGCCATGTATAGAGGGGTACCTTCACCGAAGAAGGTTAGCCGTGAATAAGTTGTGGCATACCGCAAAAAATAACCAGTCGCGAACAAACAGCGGAGGCACAACCAGGGTGTGGTAGGTTTCAGGCTGGTCACCTGGCACCTGTTTGAAGGCCGCATAAGCCCAATGACGGTGTGACAAAGGTCGATTTGACTGGCCTTTTAAAACTAGTCATTGGCCCCCTCACTTCAGAGGCGAGAGATTACTTCCTGTTGCCTTGCAGTTCGCACTTGGTTGTGCAAAGGCTAGAGGTGCGCCCTCAGAATAAAAGACGTCGAGTGACGCTGGGGACATCTCTCATACCAAACTCCCAAGTAACTTCACGATCATGTCTTCTACGGCGACAATCAGAGACAATGATGGAGCTGGCTAATCCTTTACAAGGAGCTTGTGGAAGTAAAGTAAGTGGGAATAGTTTAAGGGCGCACATTCACGTTCTGAAATATTGTATATACATAAGTGTGACGAGTATTGAAGAAACTTAAATTAGAATCAAGAAATATTCATAAAAATGCACCTTGCTCAACAGAAAGACCAGATCTCATCTAGTAAACGGGCTTATTTCAGTCTTGCAGTTTTTTCAATATTTCCTATGACAATCAATCTGGTATTCATTATCTGGACATTGCTTCCCCAAAATGATTTTATATAATAATAAATAAATGTTTCACTTCCTTTTTAATTGCCGGGAGTACAAATACAAAGTGCAGAAAGAGGCTACAGTCATACTAAAGCTGTCTGAGAAAAAAACGAAATGAGGAAAATGAGTGAAAACGACGGGGTTCGAATTCAGGATCCCCATGCCACAATTCTGATGACCTTAACCACTTAGCCACTAGTAGTTATTTTAAACCATTGCTCATAAAGACCATAAATCCAACGAACTCAATCCATTAACTGCCATACATAGGTACACAGACTGTCATCAGTAAACTAATCAGAGTAAAACCATTGGCGCGGTGTAGTGATTTGAGGATGGCGATTATTTGAGGCCAGGTGCTACGTTATTCGAGCATTTGACTGACCACTCCTGGGGTTCAAGACAGCATGGAACCAGTTTGCGACTGGCACGTTTCGAACCAAAGAAAATAAACATAGTGTTCAATTTACAGGACCAAACAGGACAACTGGTTGTCATGACGATTAGACGCCAGTGTTGAACACCACTAAATTTGTCGCACAATAGATTAATCCGAAGGAACAAATCAGAATTGCGTCTAACTATTGGGCGACAGAAATGAATAACGAAGAAGTCAATAAACAGACCAAGGATTTGACTAGTCGCTAGTGTCTCGTCAATAAAAACCAGCTCAGTCGTCTCGGAAAGGGGGAGTTAGCACAGATTTGCGAGACAACATGGACTGTAATCAGGCGTGTATGGTCGTGGTCGACACAGACAAAGGAAGATCCGAAATTAGGACATGCTATCTTCTGAACAACTCCGAAACCGGAATAGAGACAAAGAGAAAAAATATCTGGTAGAACAACAATTTAGGCTACAATCGTGGAGGTGAGGCGCGGGGCAGATATCAAGGCGGTAGAATGATCATTGTGGTAGAAGTGAGTGAAGCGAATACAGTACAGATAATTAGATGGATCGGAAAGAGCGAAACCTTTTTTCTGAATCAGTTAATCCTGACGGTATAACTTCAGCGTTCCTCTCGAACATAGCATTGGTTCACAAAGTGAACGGATGACAGTTCTCATCAATAAGTTTGCCGATTGTATGATGAATTTTGATGCTGACAAGGGAAACGAGAGCCGAAAAGCTCGAAACAACTTTACAGCTGTCTCAACCTGGTTGAGTCTCATCAGTTGTGCGGAATGATCCATCCAACGTGAGATCGAACTTAGAACTTCAGAAGCAAAACGATAGCATACTACGCATTTGACTACCGGGTGACCGATCCGACTGTTTCAGTTTATCTATAAATGATACAGCACGAACCATCCTGGACATCATAGTTCGTTTATCTTACCACTAGCTTGCAGCGTTATGACCCGGTGAATATCTGTTCCATACCAAATGAAAACCTGTCACTGTACCGATGCTTAAAAAGTTCAAAATTTTACCCAAGCATTGGCGTTGTGTGATTAAGATTAAACATGACTGAGTGTGTTGTTCCGAGCTGTCTGCCTGCGCGGTTGTTTGACTGTTCTCCGTGATCCTCTCCAGTGTACACGGGAAACAAATATGTCGACTCATCAACTGGCTAATACGTCACATTTTATACCGCCTCATTAATGATTATTCAAACGGGGATTGTTGTTGTTGTTATTTTCTATACAAAATGATGTGGTATAATATGTGATTTATTAGCCAGTTGATGAGTCACCGAAAAAAAAGCTTTTTCGCTAAACTGCGTTTTTCATTCCACGTGTGTCGCTGGTATATTTCGGGGAAATATGTCGACCTTAGATGGGGTGCCTTCTCCAGTTCACTTCACT